GGGGGGGTCCCGTCCCCACTGGGTCCCTCAAGTCCCACCTGTGGGGTGTCAGTGGCTCCGGGGGGGACCTGAGGGAGGAGGCAGGTCAGAGGAGAGGGGTGATGACACTTTGGGGGGTCCCAGGGGGGTCCCGGGGGTCTCCGCTCACCCCTGGAGCTCCTGGATGCGGGGCTGGGGCCGGGCCCGGATGTTCTGGGCCGAGATGGAGCCCAGGAACCTGCGGTTCTTCAGCACCCGCCAGCCTGGGGGGGCAGAGGGGGGCACGGGGGGGGAAGGAGACCCCCCATAACCCCCTCTGACCCCCCACAGCCCCCTCTGACCCCCCACAGCCCCACTGACTCCTCACTATCCCCCCTTCCCCTCTCCTGCCCACCTTTCCCCCATTCCCAATTCCCCATTATCCTCCACCCCAACCCTCCCAGTTCCCCCCTAATGCCCCCAGTCCACCCCAGTCCCCTCCAGTGCCTCCCCCAGTCCCCTCCCAGTCTCACCAGTCCCCTCCACTGCCCCCCAGTCCCCCCCCTGAGCCCCTCCAGTCTCACCAGTCAGCTCCAGTTCCACCCCGTACTTCTCCGACAGCCCCTCCATGGCCACGGTCAGGAAGAACTCCAGGTACAAGGGGTCGGTCTGGGGGGGCCAGGGGGGGTAAATCAGGGCCCCCAGCTCCCCCTCGAGCCCCCAACCCCCCCTTGAGCCCCCCAACCCCCCTCCCAAGCGTCCCCTCACCTGGAGGGTCCGGAAGAACCCCGAGTTCACAACCACGTCGTAGGCGGTGCAGCCACGGCCTCCTGGGGGACAGGGGGGGCAGAGGGGGGTCAGAGGGGGCTCAGAGGGGGACAGGGGGGCAGAGGGGGCTCAGGGAGGAATTGGGGGGGGCAGGGGGGCTCAGGGGGTGATTGGGGGGCAGAGGGGGCTCAGGGAGGAATTGAGGGGCAGGGGGTGCTCAGGGAGGAACTTGGGGGGCCGGGGGGGCTCAGGGGGTGATTGGGGGGCCGGGGGGGCTCAGGGGGTGATTGGGGGGTTCTCTCACCACGGTCCAGCTCGGCGTGGGGCTCCCCCAGGCTCATGGGGATCCGGAAGGCGCCGTCGGGGCCGGGGGGGTCCTGGAGGAGCCGCTGGAGGCCGGGGGGGGACAGGGCAG